TTATATTTACGCCAGACGCGCGTTTCGTCTTCAAAAGACTCATCAGTGACGTTCGAATCGATAAATTTAAAAAAAAGCCAAATAAAGTACGAAGTTGAAGAGCATTGAGGACAAAATATAACAATGTAAAACTATGCATTATTTTTTTACAATATGTAAAACGGTCTTATAAAACATGTAAAACGTATGCAATTACCACAAGGTAATGCGTCTTTAATACTTGTGTTACAATTAAGTATTGTTTGATCACTGGTTATCATTCTAAGGACCACATTTGCGGCAATTGTATGAGTTAGCTGTTTTGTCAATGTTTTCGCATGGTCGTTTTCAGAATGGATTTGTCACCTCGTATATAAATTTTAAGTGATGTGGTATGATTGTCAATGAGACATCTATCAACCAATGTTAAGACGAAGTGGATGTTAGCAATTATTCGCTACCATACGGCATTCAACAATGATACAAATCCATACTATATAGTGTGCTTTAAAAGCCCCGACATGAACTATAAGAAATAAGTTTAATGAGAAAAAGAAAGGCTTAATTTACAGCAAAACAAATATGACAACGTGAACCAACGACAATCACTCAACTACATGCTCCTGATTTATGTCAGACACATACATACTATAGACTTTTTTTGGTCAGTTGTTATCTGATTATCAATGATGTAGGAATATGTAAACCTGTTTTCGATAAATACTGTTCGGTGAAGACCAAGCATTGCATAACGTAAAAATACGTTAACGCCGCGTGAACAGATTTCATTAGTTAATTTTAATCATCATGTTTATTAGTAAACGCGTGTTTACCTTAAGCCCGAGTAAACGCGCGTTTTCTCTGTGTCCGTTTAGTCGGTAGTAAACAGGTGTCTACATCAGATTTTATAAGTATATTTTAAAGTGCACTTAGAGGTAAACCGGCGTTTACAGCAGATTTCACAAGTGTACTTTACGTGCACTTGAAACATGTTAAAGAGTACTTGGGAATTTATAAAACCCTTACCGTAACCCAAAGAGTTTATCTTCAGAATCAGAAACTAGTTTAAGCTACATCTTTACCCCTATACTGGCAAGAATGGTAAAAATATGACATTTTATATGTTTATTCCATGCTTCAGTATATCAGCTTTGCTAGAATAAAAAATATTCAATGTTAAAAGTAAATAATTTTACTACATCAAATTCCCTATCCTGTCAAATTGCGTCGGCACAGAAAACTTTTGTGTATTTGATTTGGAGTTTTTATTAATGAGTTCAAAGAATGCTATTGTCAACAACGTCTCTTTTTTCGCAATTTTCAAATTTTAGATATAAAGGAAATCCATTGTAACCTCCATTAAAATCGCTAGTTTGTTGCTTACAAAAAAGCTATTATGGCAAGATGTCCATAGTTGTATAGTTGTAATTTCACGTTCAAAAAGATATTGTACATCCCCAGATGATCGAGTTGTTTGACCGTTATTGGGTTACTGTTTCACTTATAACAAAGGACAGTTTCCAAATGTGTAAGTCAACTTGGTCCATCTTGTCAGTCAGTTCTGGAAAGGAGTTTATTGCCCTCACCTATCTATGCATTTGAAAAACTATAGTTGTAAAAAATAAATTCCAAACAGAAAATATGAACTTAAAGTAAATCATATACATGTACTGGAATCGGGTGTCCAGTTTTCATTGATATTATTGTCTAATAAAAAAATTATTTTCACTTATTTTGTTTTTTTTTTTAAATTGTTCAGAAATTGTCCGCAGCAAATTAAGTGAACTTAATCATGAGTTTTATCTAGTCAATAATAATTTTGATGAAAATAGATTAAGGTGAACTACAAGGGCTCTTCTAAGTTCTTAATTTGCAATATGTGCACAGGAATAACAGATAGATAAAAACTTTTGAAAAAAATAGTTATCAGGATGATTCAAACAAGATCTGCAAATAGTCAACACGATGAAAATTATTAACTTACTCCTTATAGAAGGTTTCGCACTTTTAAACTTTTACAGAAACATAACAATTTGTCACAATTTTTACACGTTTTACTTTTATTTCCTTTACAATTTTGAATATGATTTTTATGATATGGATAACAAGAAAAAAGATGCATGCAAATGATCAGGAAGATATGTTTTGGTGATTATTTTTTCTAATTTACTCACAATATTTTGCTCTTTATCAACTTTGTTTTTGAAAAATACCTGGTGATCGATACACGGTCATGAGAGTAACTTATTTTACATTTATTTCATTGTTGACGAATAGCTAACGTGCATTATGTAGCTGTTTTAAAACCTCAGTTGTTGTTTTGAATTTTTGACTTTTCCAATCATAACTTGACCGTAGGTCTGGTCTGGGGCAGACCTGTCCTCCGGACTGGTCAAAAGAAGACTTGTCCACAGGTCTGGTCTGGAGCAGACCTGTCAATAGGTCTACAGCAGTCCTAAAAAAGCAGACCGTAGGTCTGGCCTACCAACGACAAAGATAACTTGTTTGTCTGCTTAAAATTTCCCAAGTTAACCTGAAAAGCAGTGTCAACAAGTCTGCTCAAAGTTAACTTTGTACAGGTTAGGACCGCACCCATCTGTATATCATGTTTTTTTTGAATTCATCAATCTTCAGTTTTATTATTTCAATTGTAAATCATGTTCATGCTATATGGATCAATGTTAGTGTCGGTTATCTTTATAAAATTTTGAATCTCCTTTCTTTTTTGATAGAGTTGTATTATTTTTCATTATTTATCATTTTATTTTTTTCAGAGAAGTTAGAAAACATTAACAAGTGCGCTTGTTATGGTGAGTTTTTGAAGTAACTGTGATTATCGATAAAAGTTAAAATCTATTTTATCAAAACCAAACAAACACCAGGGATTTTCACGAATCCCAAAATAAAAAAAAAAACTAGACCGGATTTGTCAACAGGTTTAATGCCTCCTGTTATTCATGCATCATACGCCATGCATATCGATATTAAGTCGTAATGTCATAATAATGAATTGGACGCAGGTTGTGAATTGTGTTTGTGTCTAGAGCTCGTCGCTAATAACGAATCCCGTACAATGTAATCATGCATATGATTCTTCCTCGAAATATTGTTAAAGCAGTGTTTATTTCACGGACACAACTCTATTAACGAACCCCGTACAACGCAATCACGCACAACAATGGGAAAGATATAATCACACATTTGTCTTCAACTCTATACTTGTTTGGCTTTCTAACTATATTGATATGAGCGTCAATGATGAGTTTTATGTAGACAAAACGCGCGTCTTGCGTATTAATTATAAGCCTGGCAATTTTGACAACTATTTTCAGATTTTGCTTTGAAGTTGTCCGTCTGTTTTAACATCGGCGAATTTAACTTAGTAAACATATACATACCCTTAAATAAAGAGTTGGCATGTTTGCTTTAATTTTTTTGGAGCAAATGACAATCTTAAAATACGAAGAAGTAAATCTATCAACAAGTTAGAACATATAAGCGTAGGTTGTTAAACACATTAATTTTATAGTATTAATAAGCCTTCAATTAGATGATGCAAATACAATAATTTGTTTTCCAGTGATTAACATACTAAGTATGAGAATCTAAATATTAAGTAGCACAGATATTATGTAAACAGAAATGTCCAATATCCTAGTATTATCTAAATATATATATAAAATAAACGAGTATATAACCACCAATTGCAAATCAAAAACTTATGGTTTGGAAGAATTATTTCGGTTCTAACGAGTTGACCGAATGATGGCTTATTTGTACAATTTGTTTTGCTGATAAATCTTTTGATAGAAAGTTGTCTATCTATTTATCTGTTATAGTTTTAAAAATGTGGTGTCGTATTATATTTCATGTTTTTTAGTTACTCAAAAGAAATTTTAAACATTGGTTCTACGGTGTTTCCATGTCATTAAGCTTTTGTTCAATACCTCGATTATCCAGATATTACCCATATATCTAACCTATTGACACAGTAAAAGAAATGCGTGGTGTCAATTTTGCCTTAATATGTAGTACTTTCTTGTATTTCTTTCCTGACCAGGCCCAATAAGTGATGCTATGCCTTAAAGGTAAAGAAAATCAATCACGAGTCGATTAGTAGTTTGTATCATGCAAACGTAATTTAATTTATTTTCTTGCTTATCATTTTTGCCTTTCAAGATTCTACCTATCTATTAAAATTTTCACAATAATAGCTAAAGAGAACAAAATCGCCTTTAAAGTGCGCTACCTTCATTACTGAGTAGACTAATCATTTTGGTTGTATTGACTTATTAGTAGATCTTGCTTTGCGATTTACGGTTTCCATCTATCTTTAATGTTTTCAAGATGATAGGCAATATGCAAAAATGTGAAACATCTTCAATAAAAAGCTGACTTGTCATTAAGGTCATGTTTGACCTAGGTAAATCTTTTCCTGATCACTATTTTATCAATTTAAAAAAAATATATATCAAGTACAGTTTTAAAGATAATAGGCAAAACATGCAAAAATGATAAAATCTTTATTAAAGGGCAATGACTTCTATAACATGTATAAGGTGTTCATTTACGATTTCTCTCATTTCACTATTTCTAGATCTTGTATCATTTCTTTTATTTTAAAGTTTTATTTTGTCTATTTAGTTTTCGTGATGATAGGCAAAAGAGAAGAAAAATATTCAAAAAAATTCGTTCCTTAGGAAATCACGTTACAATTTGGCAAGTGCTTAACCCTATCAGCTTCTCATTGTTCTTATTTTATGTTGTTCATGTGTTTCTCGGGCAGTACGTCGACGGATAATTGGGGTTTGTTTCTCAGTTTGTTGTTTTCTTTATAGATATGTTCAGACTCTTCTTTGTCGGTCCGTCATTTCTATTTTTAAATGCAACGTTTGCATGTTATTACAATAGTGTTGTATGTTTTTATTGGACTCCCTCCATTGTTTTTCAAGTAAAATTTACCTTTGATGTTTTCAGATTCCCACGAAGTCGATATTGAGTTATGGAAAGAGAAAGACGTTATGTTCGTTGAAACGCCTGTTGTAAAAGTAATTTCACAGACCCTAGAATCAGATAAGAGTGTTTTACTAGTCGGGGAACCTGGTATTGGTAAGAGTATGTTGATGCATCACATAGCTTTAACGCATCAAAGTAAGAATGGATATAGTATAATTCCATGTTCTGGAATTCAGGATATACGTTATCATTTTAGAAAGGACACGAGGCAGATGTTTTTTCTTGATGATATCTTTGGACGATTTACTGTTAGTTTAAGTTGTATTGAATATTCCATGAAGAACGAAGATTCTTTAAAAATGATGTTTGAAAATGGGAAGAATAAAATAGTAGCAACCTGCAGATTAGATATTTACAATGATAAAACATTTCATGGTTCATGTTCTCTTATTACATCAAATATCTTTAATTTGTCCATAGCATATTCCAAAGAGGACAAATTAACGGTAGCTACAAATTATTTAAACGAAACGAATATTCAGTTCTTGAAAGACCAAGATAAATCGTTTACACCTCTGATGTGTTATCTTTATTCTAAGAATGAAAATTTCAATTTGTTTGATTTTTTACACAGTCCTTATGAAACATACCGAAAAGAATGGGAAATGTTACAATCAATTGATCCGTACAAATATTGTGCATTATTTTTATGTGTTATTTTCAATGGCAATATTGAAGAGTCTTTATTTGATATTGATTATGAGAATAGAAACATCGATAAAAAAGCCTTGTAAAACATTTTTGACAAATGCGGAGTGAATCATGGTACATCTAGCACAAAAATTAAAAACGTCTTGGACGACATTGTTGGAACTTACTTGCAGAAATCTAGGAACGAGTATAGGGTTATACATGACCAAATGTTTGATGTTATGTGTTGTTATTTCGGTAATAATGATACACTGGTCGGATGTATATTGCGTCACGCAGATATCAAAGTTTTAAATGAACGTACGCAACTAAAATCGATTGATGAACAATATTGCAAATTTACTATAATTGTACCAAGGAAGTACGAACATATTTACTTTGAAAGAATTAATGATGAATTACAAATTGGAAATTGGATTCAATGTTTTAGCAATGCACAGATGAAGCATACAAAATACAGGGCTTCTTTTCTCAAAGTTTTAATGACATTAAATTACGACAATATAATTGATCTTCACATTAAACAAGAAATCATATTAACATCATGCTTCGAAGGATATTGTAATATAGTTAGATACTTTATTTCCAAAGAAGTGTATTTAAACAAAGGTTATTCTCAAATTACACCACTGCTAGCAGCGTGCTTGGGAGGAAATGAGATGATAGTACAATTGCTTTTAGACAAAGAAGATGGTGTTGACCAGATTGATTGTATTGAAAAGACAGGTCTGACAGCTGCTAGCAAAAACGCTAATAAGAATATAATAAGCCGGGCTACTGATATGGGAGAGACACCTCTGATAGCTGCTTGTAAGAGTGGAAATGAGAAAATAGTACAGCTACTTATAGACAAAGGATGTGATGTTTACCGGGTTGGTCCTTTCGGAGAGACACCTCTGACAGCTGCTTGTAACAGAGGTAATGAGAAGATAGTACAGATACTTATAGAACAAGTATGCAGTGTTAACCAGGTTGCTAATTTTGGAAATACACCGCTGACAGCTGCATGTAACAGTAGAAATGAGAAGATAGTACAGTTACTTCTTGACAAAGGGTGTGATGTAAACATGGTTGATCGTATGAAAAAGACACCTCTAACAGTTGCTTGTAGAAAAGGAATTGAGAAGATAGTACAGTGTCTTATAGACAAAGGAGGTGATGTTAACCAGGTTGATGGTGTCGGAGAGACACCTCTAACAGTTGCTTGAAGAATAGGTAATGAGAAGATAGTACAATTACTTATAGACAAAAACGGTAATGTAAACCAGTTTGATGATATTGCACAGACACCCCTGACTGCTGCTTGTGGTGGAGGTAATGAGAAGATAGTATACTTACTAATAGATAAAGGTTGCAATGTTAATCAGTTTACTACTTCTGGACAGACACCTCTGACAGCTGCTTGTAACAGTGAAAATGAGAAAATAGTACAGTTACTTTTGGACCAAAAAGGGTATGTTAACCAGGTTGATGGTAAAAGACAGACACCTCTTATAGCTGCTTGTAGAAAAGGAAATCAGAATATAGTACGTCTACTTATGACCAAACATTGTGATGTGAACCAGATTGATAATATAAGAGAGACACCTCTGACAGCTGCTTGCAAAAGTGGAAATGAGGAGATAGTATCACTACTTATAGACAAAGGATGCGATGTTAATCAGGATGCTCTTTCCGGAGAGACACCACTAACAGCTGCTTGTACTAACAGTGATAACATGAAAACGGTACAGTTACTTTTGGACAAAGAATGTGATGTTAACCAGATTGATGGTAAAAAACAGACACCTCTTATAGTTGCGTGTAGTACAGGAAATGAGAAGATTGTAAGATTAATTCTAGACAAAAACGGTAATGCAAACCAGGTTGACGGTATTGAACAGACACCTCTGACAGCTGCTTGCGGGGGAGGACACGAGGAGATAGTACGCTTACTTATAAATAAAGGATGCGATGTTAATCAGTTTGCTACTTTTGGAAAGACACCTATGACAGCTGCTTGTTACAGTGGAAATGAGAAAACAGTACAGTTACTTATGGATAAAGGATGTAATGTTAATCAGGTTGATGGTATAGGTGGTACACCTCTGACAGCTGCGTGTTTGAGCAGAAATGAAATGATAGTACAGTTGCTTATAGACAACGATGGTGATGTTTACCAGATTGATGACAATAAAACGACTCCGCTTATAGCTGCTTGTAGTAGTGGAAATGAGATGATAATAAGGTTAATCATAGACCAGATATCTGATATTAACCAGGTGAATGGTAGGAGTGAAACACCCTTGACAGTTGCTTGTGACAAGGGAAATGAGAAGATAGTACAGTTACTTATAGACAAACGATTAGATGTTAACCAGGCTGCTCCATTGGGAGACACACCCCTGACAGCTGCTTGTAACAGTGGAAAAGAAAAGATAGTACAGTTACTTATAAACAAAGGAGCTGATATTAACCTGGAAGATGATATGGGAGAGACACCTCTGATAGCTGCTTCCAAGAAGGGAAATGAGAATATGGTAGATTTACTTATAGACAAAGGATGTGATATTAACCAGGTTAATGGTATAGGAGAGACACCTCTGACAGCTGCATGCAAAAGAGAACATGATAATATGGTAGATTTACTTATAGACAAAGGATGTGAAATTAACCTGATTAAGGGTATGAGGGAGACACCTCTGACTGCTGCATGCATGAGCGGACATACGAACATGGTACATTTAATTATAGACAAAGGCTGTGAAATTAACCAAGTTAATGGTAAGGGAGAGACACCTCTGACAGCAGCATGCAAGAGGGGACAGGAAAATATGGTACATTTACTTATAGACAAAGGCTGTGAAATTAATCTGGTTAATGGTAATGGAGAGACACCTCTGACAGCTGCTAGAATGATGGGAAATGAAAATGTAGCACAGTTACTTATAGACAAAGGCTGTGATAATAACAAGTTTGCTGGAAAGCTGTCGAGGGAAGGAGGAAAATGCATTATATTATAAAATACCCATTTTCAACACATGTTATGTATTTTTATAAGAATTATATTTGTTTTTGATAATCTGACAATGAGAGACTACTGATGTCGTTTAAATGACACATTACGGTTATTGTTCTTTGATAACCGTTTTCGTGAATATTAACATAAAACAGATTTCGATATTTTCTTTACGAAATTTAGATTAGAAATGGGGAAAGTGTCAAAGAGACAACGATCCGATCAAAGAGCATAAAACAGCCTATGAACACCAATGGGTCCTCAACATAGCGATAAAATCCCGCACCCGGAGGCGAACTTTAACAGGCTCTTGAACAAAAGTGTGTACTAGTTCAGTGAAAGCAGGCGTCACACTAAATGACTAAACTCCGAAAAATATAAATGAATTCAAATTAAAAAATAACACATAAAACTAACAAAGGCCAGAGGCTCCTGACTTAGGACAAGATTAGAAATGCGGCAGGATTGAATATGTTTGTATGTCTATGTTTTATGTCTTTATTAATTTGTATGTGATTTTAGCAGCATACTTTTATCCCTTTTATTAATCTTGAAATATCTAAAGGTATAAACCGTTTAAATGAAATATACTCAAAATACAACTTAGTACATGATTAATCAAATTTTACCACGGATGTCGGTTGTCCTTTTGAAAGAAAAAAATATCCAGTATAACTTCCAGATTATGTAGAGTGTGTTAATTGTTGGAATTATCTCTTCTTTTTTTTTTTTGTTATGCCTTTTTTCGTACAAGATCTGTTATCGGATCGTGAATGCAATTAAGTGTTATTCTACTTCAAAATTTATGAAAGAATCTGCTGTAGTTTCAAAAGGTAGACCAAAAATTATGTATGTCAACTTGATTTAACTTCCTTAATAAAACGATGCAGTAAATAAATGAAAAAATACAAACCTTTTTTTAAAAACGCAAAAGGCAACACACACTGCTATGAACTCATTAAAACAATCACGTTTTGTAACTATAGTAGTCACATTCAAATATATCATGATATATTTAAAACTTAATCTGTATATGTCAGATATTCCAGTAAAATATATTTATGTTATTATTTGAAAAGATTCATATTCTTTTTTAAAAGTATAATTTGGTTGATTTTGTTATCAAAAATGATCTTGAAAGATCATTCAACTCATTATTTTGATCGTGAAAGACAAGTCGTGGTCAGTCTTGATGATCAGAAAACAGCATTTGTTTACCAATTGATATTGATTGAAGAGTTAACTCTTGTAATTATATTTTAATTTTCAGGATTATTATCGTGTTGGTATATATGTCATTATGAGAGGAGGCCCTTACGGAGCCCCTTGAGTACCAAGAAAATAGAAATATTTTCGGGCTTTTAAGCTGGTGCTCACTAGTTCCAAAAGTCGTTCACACGACATCTATAAACTGGTGCATATAACTATCAAACTGGTGCACACGAGTTTGAAATTTAAGTGCACCAATTTGAAATGTGTGCGCTCCAGTTTAAAAGTCATGCGAACAAGTTTGAAATTCAGGCACAGAAGTTTAAAAGTCACACACACAAGTTTGAAAGTCATGCGAACAGGTGGAGGGGGGGGGGGGGGGGGGGGGGGGGTCTCACCATTGCCCTGTGTCCTTCGACCTGAAATTTTGAAAATGTTTAGCTGAAAAGTGACAATTTAAGACCTCCGTAGATATCAAAGATGACGTTATTCTGGAAATTTCTTTTGATACAAACTTTTGATTTACAGAGTATATGATTTCGTCGAATTTTATTGACAATGATAGACCAATCATTTAAGCGGTATTCTGTAGATTTTTCACAAAAAAAGATGATTATCCAACTGGCAATTTGTGCCCTCCGTAAACATAGAAGACATAAAGTCTACCCAAATTTCATTGAGTCACGTTTGTATCTACATATTTACAAACTGTCTGCATAATATTAGGAAGATTGAGAGATCAAGGGGGTCTCACTATTGCCCTTAGTCCTTAATTCTGAAATTTTGACAATTTTTAGCTGAAAAGTGACAATTTAAGCCCTCCGTAGAGATCGAAGATGGCGTTATTTTTGGGAAATCCTTTTGATTCAACCTTTATACATACAGAGTCTATGATTTCGTCGAATTTTATGAACATTGAAAGACCAGGGGGTCTCACTGTCATGCAACCGGTCTTTTATTAGTAGGTTTTCATTATATATATTTTTTTTTCTTTTTGGGGCTTTCCATGCATATTTGTATTCATATTTCTAAATATTTCTAGAGATATCGGTTTTTGTTTTTGTATTTTAAATTGTATATGAAATAACATATTTGATGTATCTTTGTTCGTTTTTCTGATAAAAATCTATGTTACATAAAGATAAAAATGCAAATGACATAAGGGTTTATATTCCTACGTATCTTTTCACGACTCTTAATTATGAAATTCATGCTTTTAATTTCAATGTTTTATGATTTTTAGCCAAATTTACAAACGAACCGGCCGCTAACTTCACATACATGAAAATCCTTAGTATTTTGAAAAATTCATACTATTGTAAACAAGAAATGTATAAGAATGACCACTTAATTGATTTTTATGTCAACACCGAGGTGCTGACTACTGGGCTGGTGTTACCCTCCGGCCGCGCGGATAACAAAGAAGGATTTGCACAAGCGATAAACGCATTTTTAGAGGAGCAACACAGTTTTCAATCAAATGAGACAATAACAAAAAAATACACATTTGATGGAAAAAGAAATTTTCCGTTAAGAAAACATACACTATAGCTTTGATTTACTATAGTATCCTTGAATACCAAATTTGGAAAGATACTTTAACTTTCAAAATAAGGCCCTTTCCATGGAAACATTGTTTCTCAGATTGTGTGCATGTTTAAGCATATATGAAGTTGTCAAATTATTTGTTATATACATGTGTAGTAACATATTAAAAAATCAAGACAAACGAGGTATCTGTATTACTAGCATTGGCCTCTCGTTAATGTGCATGTATTGTGCGATCTTTAAATTGCATGTTAAAACTTCAAATGAAAAATGTATTTTATGAACAAAAAAAGTATGTTTAGGTCTTACGAATTTGTTAGAAATACATTTCTTTGTGCATCTTTTCAATTTTCTTGCATTATATTTCAAACCCAGTTCCATGGAAATAATATACAATTACAGTCTTGTGATGCGGAAAATATGTGGTTTTATTGACCTTTGAAAAACTGATATTCACTGAGGACAACGGCCGAAGTGAATATCAATAGGTTTTTTAAAAGTCAATTAAATCCACATATTTATCGAAACAAAAGATAGTAATTGGGTTTTTTTTTCATGTCCCTCGAAAGAAAAATATGTATAGCATAACAGTTATGTACCCCAACCAACAAAACGTCAAACATTGTGCCGTTATTAGATCTTGTCAAACACGTAAAATCACGCGACGTTTTGAGAAGTAATCATACTTTTTCTGCAGGTGAATATGCTTATTTATTCAAAATCCCATGCATTTACAAATAACATACTTAAGTTCTATCAATACGGGATATAATGCCATAATAACTTCAAAATTCAATTCCTTTACCCATAAATCTACTGTTAAATAGTAAAGAACAACCAATTTAGAATTTTGAAAATAGATATAACGTCTTTTATGTTAAAATAATGTCTGGATCATACATATGCATACAACATAATAATATGTTTGATTTAGATTTTTTCTGTCGTTTTGGAATTAGTATTTTGCAAGCAGAAGACAGTTGTTTTCCATTCGTTTGATGTGTTTGAGCTTTTGATTTTGCCATTTGATAAGGGACTTTCTGTTTTGAATTTTCCTCGGATTTTTTTGTTATCTTACTTATTATGCATACAACATTATAGCATGTTTGATTTTAGATTTTTTTTCTCTCGTTTTTGAATAAGTACTTCGCAAGAAGATGATACATTAGTGTGTTGTTTAAATGTGTATTTAGATATTGATAAAAGTAAATTGACTAGTTATTAAGATATATCTGATTGTTAATTTACTCGTTTGAAGTGCAATTTCAACAGATGCTTAGTTTGATAAAATATCTATTAACGTTTTAAAAATGCTTTTAAATCGACTAAATAACAAAGATGTTTAAATCCATTAAATACTTTCGCAAAAATGTGCTTATTGGTCGGCTGATTTCGTCATGTTATATTTAGTTAAGTGCATTAGTAGGGCAAATTTCATATATATATATATATATATATATATATATATATATATATATATATATATATAAACAAGTCTAAATTGAAAACAACGTTCAAACCTATGATTGCGTTGGATAAAAACCGCAATTTTAATACGTGTGCATGCAAAACAAATTTCTTGTTAGAGGGGTCTAAATACAGCACAAACAACATTTTCCAAAAGACCAAAAAAGTGAAAAAGTATATTTTAACAAAACGCATTTGACTAACAGGTCGAACAACAAATGTTCTTAAATCCTGCTGACTGCCATCGGCGATTGCCAAATAAACGGATCACAAGGTGTAATAAATGGATCTTAACTTTAAATTTAATACCAAACAGAAAACAATAAACTTGCGGCGAAGATGGTATACCGCAAACAAAGGTGCAAATATTTTTTGTACACCATATCCGAATTTCGACAATTAATGTCTCTTCAGTGATGTTAGGAATCAAAACGGTTATTGGAAGGCCACATAATTTACCTCAATTTGGGATAGACTCTTGAATTTTGAGGAGTCAAAATAGGATGAACGGATCATATAAATCCGAAGGCAAATATAATACAAGCCCAAACGAAAAAATATAAACAAGTCTAAATTGAAAACAACGTTCAAACCTATGATTGCGTTGGATAAAAACCGCAATTTTAATACGTGTGCATGCAAAACAAATTTCTTGTTAGAGGGGTCTAAATACAGCACAAACAACATTTTCCAAAAGACCAAAAAAGTGAAAAAGTATATTTTAACAAAACGCATTTGAATAACAGGTCGAACAACAAATGTTCTTAAATCCTGCTAACT